CCTGCTGCAGACACGCCTGGATGCCCAGAGGGACGCTGACAACCCCTCGGAGAAGGTGGTCTCCCAAGATCTCTTCTGCTGCGGCAGCCATCCCCAGCACGGCTTTGCCAAAGCCCACAAGATACAGATTCCTCTGCGCTGGGAAAGCTCGGCCCCTCACGACGAGTTGGGGGCCTCCATCAGTTCTGAGCTCCAAGGCCCTCCTGAGCATCCGGGCTGGCAGGACGACATCCACAGCACTGCGGAAGAGGTATTGCCCGTGCTCCCTGAGGGACATACTGTGTGGCAGTAGCTCACTGGTTAGGCGAGATGCTGAGGCCCAGCAGGCTGGGGTCAGACAGGCTCTACTGATCCCATGCAGGGCTGTGAGAGCCAAGGGCATGTCTTAGGAGATAGCTGGCCAGCTGTTTCCCACCTGGAATGAAGGGAAGGAAGAGTCATGACTCAGCCAGCAAGAGACATGTGGGTTTTGGCTTTGAAACTGGGGACCCAGAGGGCTAGGAACCGAATGAAGTGGTCAGTCTGACATCCTCATCCAGGCTAAATGCCCATGAAGGCCTAAGTAAGGACTGAAGCAATCATGGAGCTGTGGATTTAGTTTTGCAACAGATCCCCTTCTCTTCTCCTTAGCCTCAGCCTCCTTAGCATCATACCAATGATATATTTGGACTGCTCCTGTCTGGGGAGTTCACATGTAGTTGCCTTGTACAGCTTCCATCACCCTGTTTCTATTCCCTACAACTCCACAAAGCCACTGTGAGGACCAATCCTCCACTGTTTCGTTTTGTCACCACCATACATCTGTTATTGGCTGCTTCTCACTTGGACTCTTGCTAACCATTTCTTCAGGATAACTTTCCAAAATGAGGGGGCTCTTTGCCATCCCCAAGGAGTCAGACTTATTCTGAGCAGGGCTCCCACCGTTTGTGGCACTTGACTAGAGAAAAAAAGCTCCTCATTGTAGTACCCAAAAGCTGAGTTCATATTATTTGCTGTTAATTGCTGCATGCCCCTGCTGTCTCTCTGATATAGCCACTGACAGAACAGGCTTGTGTACCTCTGTGGCTGTTTGAACCCCTGCTGATGGTTATGGCAGATGCTGCCAGAGATGAGCTCTCCAAGATAAGAAGCAAATAAAATGAGGGCAAAAAAAATGTCCTTATTTCTGTTTTATTCCCTTGTTTACTGTTCTTTAAATAGAAATTCAAAACCCTGACAAGCCTGTAGGCTTAAAAAGCCAAAAATGCTCTCCTTTTTCAGGCAAACTCCTAGTCACCTCAGGGTGAGGAGTGTAGAATTTGGCTTACTCTCAAAGACAAAAGCTGCAGTAAGTGTGGAAGGAAGAATCTGCTTCAGTAGCTCATATCCTGAGTGGGAGCCCAGTGCCAGTCCACAGATGTCTGTTCCCTCCCCTCCAGACACCTGCTGCATTCTGCATTTTCCCCATTAACTTGCTGTCGGGTTTCATTGTGCCATGGACTCCAGCGATCTCAATCTATCTCCGCAATCAGGTGTTTTGTTCTAAAACGAAGACATTTTATAGCAGGATCACAGTGCATGCAGCTAATTAAGCTGTTCTTTTCTCTGATCTACACCTTTAAATTGCCAGCCGTTTTCTGTTTGCAGGGGCAACTGCAATGTTTGCAAGGCAGAATTACTGCAGCATAAGCTACATGTGCTCTACTCTTACTTCCATTTGATTCAGCTTAAAATGATGCAGCTTTTTGTATGGAAAGCACAAGAGGAGCGCTGCCTGACGCCACAGACGGAGGAAGCTAAAGGACCCTGTTTGATGTGTTAGCTGTTACATGACTCCCAACACCACATTAGTGTTTGCACTTTCCCACAGCCATTATGATCAATGCCACACCACCCTCAATAGGCCACGCAGTGACATTATCCTATTTTGCAAGATGGACACAGAGACAATACAGGCCAGATTCTATTCCACCTGTCAGATGCCCAAATTGACTTAGGCACCTAAGTGTCACCCTATGCCATCCTTCTCAAGACCCTGAAAAACTGTTAATGCAAAAAGCGAGTGGGTCCTACTCCTCCTCGCTGCTTTTTGTGACCTGGGCTCAAGGCTAAGAGGACAGTGTGCTACAAAAGAAGATGGGTGCACTGACTGCTTTTCAGGGACCTGAGTGAGGTAAAGCAGGATGGCTCTTGGGTGCCTACACCAACTTCAGCACCTAGTAGGTGGAGCTGGATCTAACCCTAATGACTTGCAAGAAGTCATCCATGGAGCCTGCAGCAGAGCAGGGAAGTGCTGAGTGAGAGTCCAGTGCATTCTCCACACCATTTTCTCTCTCTCCTAAGAAATAACAGATATCTGCAGAAGACTGTACAGAATAGGACCTGCCCTTCCAAAAATGCATCACCCAAATACATCTGAAGACAGATTCTCATACAGGAACTGCCCCACACCTCTCATTCCAGGAAATAGTTTCTCTCATGTTAGAAAAAAAAGAGGACATTTTCATCCAGCTTTGTCAGAGGGGAGCATCTGGGGGGCTGGAGAGAAAATTCACAGGAGGGCCCATCACATAAAACAGTAAACTATTGCCACATTTTATATCTGCAGTGGGAAACCCTCAAGAGCATAAACAAACTCCTTAGTCTCAAGTGTGCCCTGTCCTGGACTCCAGTCAGCAAATGTCCTGTCTCTGCCTCTCCTAAGAACATTTCTTACTTTTGGAGGGGGTCTATAATTTGGGAAGGCTCATGTGCTTGCCCCCCACCCTAAGGGGCTCCAAGCCACTCATAGACCATGCCCCACAGATAACCAATTACCTTTCAGCTGTCTGTTCCTCCAGTAAATGCACTTGTGTGTGTGTGTGTGTGAGATGTCAAGGGCTTCTGCTCTTCTGGAAGAGCTTACAAGTCCAGAGGTCCCTGTACTCAAACACTCCCACAAGATGTTAATAATTAAAAGCCAAGCCTTCCTATTGCTCTGCTAAGCCCAAATCACTGCCCCACCTCTCCATTCCATGGCAGAGCTCAAACAGATCAGAAACCCGCAATAATACCAAAGCTAAAAAGCCCACTGGCAAAAGACATGCAGATCAAGTCTTGGGCTGGGTCACATACTTGCAACAGAATTTACCCCTGCCTGGAATACCTGTATTTTACAATGAAACAGGGCACCTGCTGTGGGATAGGGGCTCACAGGAGCTACCCTGCCTGATTCATCAAGCAGGCAGAGACTAAGAGGGAGTTCATTTTCTTCTTCCTGTCCTTTTGTTGGACCCTGTGCTCAGCTACACTTGATGGTAGGACTTGTTCAGAAGCAGCAGTGTTAGCTACAGTGAGGGCCCCTTTCCGTTAACAAGATGGTAAAAGTGCTTATGAAGAACCTAATCTTCAGCCCCTAGTGTAGAAAGAGCACATAAACAGCTCATCCCTGCTGGCTGAATCCAGCGGTCAATCTATCTTTCCAAGCCCAATAAACTCCCTCTGCATAGCTGAGCAAGCTGATGGGGGAATGTAGTACAACCAGCCTTGCTGCTGTGAATCCTGCACTGAGCAGTACTCCCCCTGACCAGAGCTGTTCATTTCCACCTCTGAGCATAATATACCAGGCACCAGTGCTTTTAAAAGCTATCCCCACATGCTCAAATTTAAATGACAAATTCCATTTTAATGTACCTGAACACTTGCTAACGCTTGCCCCATGTGGTAATTAACTACTATAACAGTGATGTAATGTCTGAACTGCAACTGTACTTAAACAATAAGGGCCTGATCTAGAGGCAATTCCAGCCACGAGGAATCTTTCAATTGCCTTCTGTGATGAAATGACTGGTTCTGTGGATGCAGAGAAAATGGTGGTTGTGATATACCTTGATTTTAGCAAGGCTTTTGATACTTTCTCCCAGGTAAGCTAAGGAAGTACAGGCTGGATGGGATGAATGGATGTAAGGTGGATAAAAAATTGGCTGGAGCATGGGGTTCAGAGGGTAGTAATCAATGGCTCGATGTCTAGTTGGCAGCTGGTATCAAGTGTACTGCCCCAGGGGTCAGTCCTAGGGCCAGTTTTTTTCAACGTCTTCATCAATGACTTGGAAGATGGCAAAGTGCACCCTCAGCAAGTTTGCAGATGACACCAAGCTGGGGGGAGTAGTAGATATGCTGGAGGGTAGGCTAGGATTCGGAGTGACCAAGACAAATTGGAGGACTAGGCCAAAGGGAATCTCATGAGATTGAACAAGTGCAAAGTCCTGTACTCAGGACGGAACAATCCCATGCACTGGTCCAGGCTGGGTGCTGACTGGCTGGGAGCAGCTCTGCAGAAAAGGACTTAGGGGTCACAGTGGACAAGAAGCTGAATATGAACCAGCAGTGTTGCCCTTGTTGCCAAGAAGGCTAACGGCATTCATAGGTGTGCTGCCAACAGATCAAGGGAAGTGATTATTCCCCTCTATCCAGCACTGGTGAGGCCACATCTAGAGTACTGTGTTCAGTCTTGGGCAGAGCCGCCCCAAGCAGGGTGCAGGCCTGGGACAAATCAGCCCATACAGGGCCCTGCCCCCACTCCAATCCCACGCACCCCAGAGCTGAAGAAGCTGCCACCGCCATCAGCAGTGGCAGTGTTGTGGGTAGCAAGCGGCTGGATGTGAAGCCCGTGGCGGTGGCGCAGTCGCTGCAGCTGCTCCGCCCAGCTCCACAGGGCCCCTTCAAAGAGCAGGGCCCAGGGCAGTCACCCTGATTCACTCCCCCCTAGGGACAGCCCTGGTTTTGAGTCCCCTCACTACAGAAAGGACGTGGATAAATTGGAGAGGGTCCAGTGGAAGGCAACAAAAATGGTGAGGGGGCTGGGGGACATGACTTATGAGGAAAGACTGAGGGAACTGGGCTTATTTAGTCTACAGGAGAAGAGACTGAGAGGGGACTTAATAGCAGCCTTCAATTACCTGAATGGGGGTTCAAAAGTGGGTGGAGCTGGACTGTTCTCAGTGGTGGCAGGTGACAGAGCAATGAGCAAGTCTGAAGTTGCAGCAAGGGAAGTTTAGGTTAGATATCTGAAAAAAATGTTCTCACTAGGAGGGTAGTAAAGCACTGGAACAGGTAACCCAGAGAGGTAGTGGAAGCTCCATCCTTGGAGGTTTTCAAAACTCAGCTAGACAAAGCTGAGCAGGGGGTTGGATTAGATGACCTCCTGAGGTACCTTCCAACCCTAACTTTCTATGATTCAATAAACTTTGGATTAATTGTATAGACTCTGGGTCAGATATTGATCTCAGTTATGATGGTGTGAATTCAGATTAACTCCAATGAAGCCAACAGTTTCTCCAGGTTTATGCCAAGCAACTGGGGACATAATTTAGCCTCTACACAACAGCTTCAGTTGCCTTGCTGCATAACTCTGTCACATCTTTAAAGATGAGCTGTGCGCCGAGGATAACAAGACCTTTGCATCAAGAACTGTTTACGGACACAAGGTGAATGTCTGAGCACTGTTCTACAGCGCAGCTAGGTGATGCAGCCTGTGTTTCTATTCTGCCACATCAGATACTATGAACTGCTGTTATATTTCCTTGTGCCCCAGTGCCTATCATAAGTACCAGTTGTATGCATTCTAATCAACCAATCTGTTGAGCTTTTGGGCTCCTGCTATTCACTGGAGCAGTCTGTTTCTGCACTGACTGCATACACTTTCCTGCTTCCTCTGTACAGCTTAGTACAATGACACTCAACCAAGATGCTGCACCACCTGGGGCACCATCCTTTCAAGGGTGCTGCAGGGCCCTATGTAATGTTAGCACTGTTGTGGGCTTTCCAAGTTCTTTAGGTGCTCTATTATTTTGCCTTAATCAAAAAAACGAGGAGAAACTAGAAACTGGCATTTTCTGAGGAGTGCCCTGAATCCAAAGAGGGGTGCTTTGGGTCTAATAAGAGGTGAATCTAGAAAGGTTGAGGACTACTCTTTTAGCACAATTAGGGACCTACCTAAATCATGGTTTTGCAGATTTCATGAGAACAGCATTGTCTGTGATCGCTGGAAAATAGGGCATTGGCTGTGATTTCCTGTAAAATCAATCCACCCAAAAAAAAAAGGTAGTGGCATAGATTGAGTGAAGATGCCCTCTGCCAATTAATAACTAGGGGTGAGGCCACCAGGGCCTCATAATCAATCAGCAGCGAGGCGCGAGGCCATTGTGAAAAGCCTGTGAAATCAGCTCTGGGCACCATGAGCGGGCTGTGAAAAACCTGTTGTTTCACCATGACTTATGTAGGACCCTAAGCATAACAGTTGGGCTTATTCCAATGCCTATATCTGCCCCAACGCAGGCCACTTTCCATACTCATGCCAGTTGCCACATTGCTGACATTTACTTTGAATTGACTTTTCCTTTCCTGGTTAATTAATTACACTTGCAGTCATGTTTTGGGGATGTCCATGTAGGCTTTTTATTTGAGCTCCTGTTCACTCTGCAGCTTGGCATATGCACACTGCTTTTTCCAGCATCCAGTTCATCTTACTAACCACTCCCTTGTTTACCATCACATCCCAGAACAGTCTGGTCTTTAGCGAGTCTCAGTGCTCCCTATTCACAGGGCCACATACGTGGGTCTGGAACAAGACTCCTCCACTTCTCCTTCCTACCACATTCTCATCCTGAACAGGCCTTACAAGGTTGTGATTATCCTCCGACCACTGTATGACTTCTGCAAAGCTTCCCGCTCCCTGCTCCACAGAGGCACGATGCCAGTGATTCTCAACCAGGGACTATAGCAGCCCGGGGTGCCTTAAGCCCTTTCCAAGGGTGCTGCACGTTGCCACACCAGGTCAGTGCAGTCAGGGCCTTGTCAGACGTTACACCGCAAGCCACACAAGTGTTCATCGCTTCAGGGCTAGCCTGCAGCCATACCTCCAGTGTGGGCAGCACACCTGTGGGGTGCGGCCACACCAGCAGGGCAGGAGCTGGGTAGTGCGGTCACAGACCATCCTGCCCTGAAGCAGAGCAACTCTGAGCTGCCTAAGGAGGGCTGGCAGACACTGAGAGGTGTTGACGTGAAGGCAATCCAGGAGTGAAGAGCTCCAGGCATATCTGTCATCCTTCAGGGATGTGGGCCTACACCCACCATGTAACCTTTTAGCCTCCATCGCATGGGGAAACTATGGAAAAGGATGTCAATTGACTACTGGGGACAAATAATAATAATAATAAAAAACAGAGACATAAGTGAAGATCAAAGGTTCAAAAACCAGAGTGCCAAGGGGGGGGGGACACGGATCCGAGCGCACTGCACAGCACCCGCGGCCCTCTGCTCCGACACGGGAACGCCGCAGGGCAAGGACTGCGGCCCCGCGGGCTCTCCCTTCGCGCAGGTGCGCGGCCAGGAGGCTGACCGGGTCCCGGCCCCTGGTGCGGCCACGGCCACAGCCGGGGGTGTAAATAACAAGGTGAGCGGCACACGGCAACAGATCCCGGGCGGGGCAGGGCGCTCCGGGCTGGGGGCCTGCCGGGGCCTCCCTCTGCTCGCGCGAGGGGCCGGATCCAGGCCCGGGGGACCCGCCGGCTGAGGCGCCAAGAGCTCCAGGAGCCCAAAACGACCGCGGCCAAGGGCTCAGGAGCGGCCGAAGCCTCGGCCGCGCTGGCACCGGCCCCTTCCCGCGCCCGAAGAACCGGCGCCGAGCCGGCCCCGGCCCGCGTTACCTTCGCCCGCAGCGCCGCGCCGCGCCCGCGCACTTCCGGGGCCCTCTGTGCTTCCCGGAGGACTTACTCTGTGGTCCGTAGAGCCCTGCGGAGTCCGCCAGTGCCGCTGCCGGGGGTGGGGGGCGCACCCTCTCTGGGCGGACCCCGGCCCAGGACGAGCTGGCGGAGCAGGGGCGTCTGCTCCCTCCCCCGGCCCTGCGGGCCCTGAGGCACCCTGGGCTGAGCCTGCCTCGTCCCTCTGTCCCCCCTCCTTGGTGCCACCTGGGAGCGTCAGACTGCGCCCCTTCTCCCCGCATCTGGGGCACCTCGCTGTGGCGGCCCAGAGAGTCGAGCCATCGTCATCCCACCCGGGTTTTGCCGCCTGAGAGACAAGGCCGGCACACTGCCGGGCCCTGCCGTCGTGCCATGCGATGTCCCTTGGAGGAGGACCGTTCCCAGTCTCCCCGTGCTCTGTTCCAGGGTTGATGTGGCCTGCTTCATCCTCTTCACCCACCTCCCCAGCTGGTGCTGGCTGCTGAGGCGCGCCTAGCCAACCATATAGGGCCCAGTATGATAACTTGGATATTTCTACTGGCTCTACTTAGCCTAGGCCTATCCTGGTACTTGGGACTCGAGTCTGTGTCCCAGTGATGCAGGGTTGTCATCCAAGGCAGCTCCAGCAGCAAGGTTATAGTAGGGACCTCAGGCGCCTGCCGGCCATGCTTGACATGCCCATGCTGACTGCAGCAGAAACAAGCCTTGTGCCCCTCCTGAACAAGCCACCTTTCTTTGGGTCTGAGATTAGCCGGGTTGAGTCTGTGAGGGTCGATTGCCGGTTGGCTTAATGACCATGTGAGGGTAGAGGGGAGGGAGCAGGAGATAAGGTGGGCATCATACAAAATAGTTTATCGTGGAACACCCTTTAGTTACTATTTCAGTAACCAGCTGTATTCCTTGTTCACCCTGTTATGCATGCTTAGGAATCTCTAAAAGAAAACAACAAATTGCTAAGACTGACAAGCTCGACTTGGTCTCTTTCCCCTTTCAAAGTATAGCTTTTGAATAAATTATTCTCCTTTTTTATAGTTTCATATCTAAAATGACAGAAATATTGTAATTCCCCAAAATAGAAAATATATCGCAGTGCGCTCTAGCCCAGAGTCACTCATGGGACAGCTCTTCAGTAAGCATTTATGGTTTTACAACATCATCTAGTGATTTTATGATATGGGCAAAGGTTTACCAAATGTGGCAAAAAGTATGAAATCACCATTGTAAGATTAAGTGGTTTTCCCTATAGACATGATACTGTATCACAAATAGAAATGAGGGTTGTGATCTCAGGATTTTCTGTCCTCACCATAAAAGAAAACTTTTGATATAGCTGTGTCTCACTCAGGAAAGGTTTCAGATAAGAATGATCTGGATGGAGGTACAGAGAAAGGAGTATGAAAGTTCTTATGCATATTTGTGCTAAGAGTATTTTAGTTTCATGTGAATCATATTCACGGCAAGATTATCAAAGGAGAAGAGCTATTCAAGTTAAAGCACAAAAACAGAAGAGCCGATGGCTACAAATAGGTTATGGACACATTTAGAAACCTTCTAATTTCCAGTCTAACTATTAGAGGGGTGAAATATTGGAACAGTATTCCAAACCAAGAAGTGGGATTAAAGAACCTGAATCACTTGGAATCAAGATGGAATTTAACAAGTTTTTGGAAAGAGCAGTATGATAGGGTCAATAATCAGCACATGTGATAAGTGGATTCATAGATTCTAGGGTCGGAAGGGACCTCAGTGGGCCATCTAGTCTGGCCCCCTGCCCCTGGTAAGCAAGAAAAGGGTCACCAAACCTGGGATCATGTGATCCCAACCAGGTACCTGTGCAGTCTCTTCTTGAAGACCCCCAAGGATGGGGCGAGCACCAACTCCCTTAGAAGCCCATTCCAGATCCTGGCAACCCTGACCATAAAGAACATTTTTCTAATGTCCAGTCTAAACCTATTCTCCAGTAGCATATAGCTATTGTTCCTTGTTGTTCCAGGGGGTGCCCTGGTAAACAGATTGTCACCTACTTCATGTTGCTCTCCCCTTATGAATTTGTATGTGGATTCAAATGTTGCCAGTTCTCCTGTGGGGAGTTGATAGGTAACCTTTCTCTGTTTTGGAGGCACCTGGAAATCCTTTGTTTGTAGGGACCAGGGAGGATTTTATCCCTACACTGGTGGAGGATGAGAACAAGGCATTGTGGCTGTGATGGGACAAAATGCTGTTACCAAATACAGCTGTGTTTAAAGGGCTACAGGAATGTGTGGGATGGGCTGTACTTAGGAGAGAAGATGGAGCCAGACAATTGTGTCACCGTCCCGTCACAGACACCCCCATAATACCATATTAATGGAATGACTAGAAAACTGTGATCCATCTACATCGTACCAGGCACAATAGGGCCCAGAGCCCTCATACAGTCTTCTTCAGACCCTTGTCACCACCATCCCCCTATGTTATGGGAGTGGATGTTCTGACTCAGACACTCCCCGGCTTATCATTCTTTTTAACCCATGGGATGAGCGTGGGGACAAAGAATGAGTTTGCTCCAAAGTGAGAAGGAATAGAGCTGCTGAACACTCAAAAAACCCCCAGGGGTTGTCAAAAACCTGAAAACAAGGGATTTTAATTGTCAATGCACTAGGGAGAATAACAGGACTGGAAGTTTCCTTGTTTTCAAAGGTTTAATCCAGTGGTTCTCAACCTCTTTTGACTTGAGGCAGCCCTCAGTGGACTCAAGGCACCTCTCCATAACTCTTGTGAATTAAGCAGCTCCCAATTTCAAGAACTAGTTTATATATTACAGTGCTTACCTCCTTGCAAAGGAGCTGGGCAATGACAGTAGGGGATTGGCCAGGCAGGAACAAAGCCGTGCCTGTGCTCATCTCCTCCGCTTATCTCCTTGCATTTCATGGCACCCTTCAAAGGATTTTATAGCACCCTAATTGATAGCCACTGGTTTAGGTGGAGAATCAAGACGTTCTGCAATGTTCTTTATTTTAGCTGGCCACTAGGCTTCAGCACTGCTGCATGGGGAGAAAATACTCTTGTGCTAAACCAAACTGGCCACAGGATGTCACTTGTGCTCCATGTGCAGAAATTTACCATGTAATCTACAAAGCAAGGGAAAAGTCATTAAGGAGAAATTACGTTACAATAAAATAATTTAAACTGAAAGCATCAACATCGCACTAAGAATCATAGAACAGTAGGACTGGAAGGAACCTCCAGAGGTCATCTAGTCCAACCCCCTGCCTGAGGCAGGATCATCCCTATCCAAACCATCCCACACAAATTCTTGTCTAATCTGTTACTAAAACTACACAGGCAACCGGGGCACACAACCACAAAGCAGTGTGCCCCAACCTGCCTAAGGTAAAGCAGGGGGACAATGGTAGCCAATGTCATGCTGCTGTAAGGGTTGTTATAAGCCTGCTCAGGATGACAATGTGGTAGGAAGGGGAAGGAGAAGCGGAGGAGTCTTGTCCCAGACCCATGTACATGCCCCTGTGAATAAGGAGCACGGAGACTCACTGAAGACCAGACTGTTCTGGGATGTGATGGTAAACAAGGGAGTGGTTAATAAGAGATATATTGGATGCTGGAAAAAAGCATATGCCAAGCTGCGGAGTGATTGGGAGCTCAAATAAAAAGCCTAGATGGACATCCCCAAAGCATGACTGCAAGTGCAATTAATTAACCAGGAAAGGAAAAGTCAATCCAAAGTAAATGCCAGCAATGTGGCAACTGGCATGAGTATGGAAAGTGTCCTGTATTGGGGAAGATATAGGCATTGAAATAAGCCCAACTATTATGCTTAGGGTCCTACATAAGTCATGCTGCTGTAAGGACTCGAGATCCAAGGAAGAGGGAAGCATCCCCCACTGCAGAGCAAGACAAAAAAACCCCACAGTCCATACCAGTCTGACCATGAGGTAAAATTCCTTCCTGACCTTAACTGTGGCAATCTGTCTGACCCTGAATGGAGGGGCAAGACCTTCTTGCCAGGAATCTCCAGGTTTTAGCCCCCGCAGGAGTATTGGCACACCAGTCAAAATCTCCAACCTCGGTTGCAGTCAACACCCAATGGTTCTGAGAGGAAGGTGAGGAAAAAAGGTCAAACAATCCCTCCCCACCCTCCTCCCCAACATGTATAGCAAACAGATGATTCTATGATGCTTATGATAAGTGAGTCTACCTTCCAGCACTGTGGGGTGGGGACAACATTCATCTGGGGACACAGCAATAGTATAGAATTAGTAAGTAAAAGACCCATCCCTACAGGAACGTGGGAAACTTTTGCAGATTCACAGAAATTTAGGGCTGGAAGGGACCTTGCAGGGGTGACACACAGGGGGTGCACACGGGTGCATGTGCACCCCCTGCGCGTGGCAGTGCATCCCCTGCAAAAAGGCGCTGCTGACACTGTCGGTGGTGCCCACAGGTGGTCACCACCCAACTGCCGGCACTGCCGGCAGCATCTGCAAGCAGTCCATGATCACCCCTGGCTGCTGTTGACACTGCCGGCAGCACCTGTGGGTGGTCGCTGATCCTTGGTCAGCACTTAACACCCCACCCCCCTGCTGCCGACAGTACCAGCGGTGTCTGCGGGAGCTCCCCACTCACCGCTGCCGTGCTCCCACCACCACAGCTGCCCTGCCACCGCTGGTGCAGCCGTGCCCCCCAGCTGTCGGAGGCACGCACTGTGTATGGGACCTTGTGAGATCATTGGGTCCAGCCCCCCTGCTCTGCACAGGAAAGACTGCTGGGGTCATATAACCCCAGCAAGGTGTGTGTCCAGTCTCCTTTTGAAGCTCTCCAGGGTAGGTGCCTGCACCACCCCCAAATTGGGAGTCTATTCCAGAGTCTGGTCACACAAACTGTAAAGAAGTTTATCTTTATATCTAGTCTGAAACCTTCTTCTAGGAGTTTATGACCATTGCTCCTGGTTTTCCCCTGGGGTGCTTTGGTGAATAGTTGGGGGAAACTTTACATCAGTTTCCCGCACTGGATGCTGTCACTGTGCATAAGTTTCCCACTGTGGGGTGGGATAGAGAGCAGGATACAGACAATGCTGTGGGGTCATGAGAACTATTAGACAGACTAAGGGAGTGGGGAATATTGTCCCCCAGACCTGAGTCTTTCTCTGTTCCCACTTTTTGTAGCTTTCAGTCTGCCTCCTGCCCCTCCCTGTCTTGCCCTGCCTCAATAGGCCTTCTTTTCCTTATCCCTCACAACTCCTCCACTCACCCTCTCTGTGTAGGTATTGACCTGTGCCTCCATAGGCAAAGATAATACACACTGCAGGGCTTCCAAATCAGTTATCACTCTTCCTCTTTGTCCCTTTCTCTGCTCTTAATACTGTATCAGTCTAATATTCAACAATTCCCACTCAGGCAATATATTTTCATAGGCACAAAACTGATCCAAAACAGCCTGACAGGAAAGTGTTCACTAAGACTAAAGCTTCTTCCTCACTCCTTCGAGGCCAATAGAGTGCGTCTTGGAGGTGTATGGTGTCCCAACCAAAAAGAGCCCCTCTTTCAGAAAGACTTTCAGGAAAACAAGAGTCGAGATGAGGTGACAGGAGTTCAATGGGACTCCCTGCCCAAGAAAGACCACTCAGTTTTAGGATTATAGGATCAAATCCTTAATATCTCACCAGTGGGTACAAAGCTACATTAAGATACGTTAAGTCTGTGCACTAAAATACTTTTGTTCTGTGTTAGTAAGAAGTTACTTCCAGGGTAAGACCAGAACTTTGCGAAGTGCAGCCCAGTGATCAATTTTCATTTTTAAATAAATAATTTAAAAACCACATACGTACATTCATTATGGAAAAATAACCTCAAGTTTTATTTTTAAATAATGTTAGAGATGGACAAAAGCACAAAAGAATGAGTTAACTTTAATACACAACATGCATTACTCCAGAGATAGGATATGATCCATGTCAAATCTCATGACTATTTACTGCACATTTGAGCATTTGCTATAGTCACATATAAGCCAGTATAATAGTTCCACGTC